GTGTGGATTTTTTCTTTGTTTCTTGAAAATAGATGATGATGATGAGACCAGTTGTGAATATGCAGCAGCAGACGAACCCAAGTTATTATTCTGCATTTAACTGCTTACAAACAACCTTGTTCAACGGGCGTATGGAAGAAAGATGATTATGTGTGAAGAATAGCATTGAACAGTTTCAGTCGATGCATTTTATTTCATTGTTGATCAAAAGCAGAAATTGTGCCTTATCTCGGGGTTGACCATTGTAAAACGCTTCCAAAAAACAACTGTTTCAGGTTTAAGGTTTCGTCTAGCAGAAAACTAAGAAAAGCAGCGCAGAGAATCGAAGGGTTTTTTGTTTGAATAGGGGAGGCGTAAAAGGGTTTGTAGAATGGAGTGATCATCCAAATCTTCAACGAAACTTCATCTTGTCTGTACGAGGTTTGACTAATGTGAAGTGATGGAGCCATATGCAGCTTGTATTTCAATATTTATTAGGGAAAATTATGTTTTTTGTTTTCATTTTTTATTCTTTAAGTTATTATTGGTGTTGTACTTTTTGTTCTTTTATTAACTTTTCATGCTCATTTTTTGTCTTGAATATACTAAAGCTGCAAATTTTGTCCTTAATGTTTTGATAGTAAATGGACGAAAAGTGCAACAAAATGTGAGTATGATCAACATATAAGGACGAATTCTATAATTATTTTGGAATTTAAGGATGAAAAATGTAATTTAATAATAATAATAAATTTTTAATTTTCAAAATATAAATATAGTAATTTTTTTTGACACTTGTAGTTATTATTTGAGGGTGTGTACTGAGTAATTTTTCTTTATTAAAGAGGTAAATCAGTCTAAGTTGTCTATACTTTATCTTATTGGCTCAAATTAAGAAGGCGAAGTCATTTTTATTGGTAATTATAATTGAATTTTGAACAAACGAACATTGTAATTATAAAGTTAATATTTACAATATTATGATTATTAAATCAATAGTTCGACCAACTTAGCTAGAGAAATAACAAAATAACTAATAAATATAAATTTTTTATCACAATTAAATGAAAAAAAATATTTTTTTTGTGATAAAGGATTCAAACGCGTGAGATTAGCATTGCCGTTTGTTTACGGAAAAGCCGTGTGAGAATGGAAACATAGTAACGAGGATCCATGCAAGCAAAGATGGCTATCTTCTAGAGGTACCCAAGAGGAGCAGACGCCTCCGTAAACAATCTCTGAAACACTAATCATACCACGCACCAGCCGATGGCATGCACATGTGGGTTTTGCTTTTCCTTCCTTTCCACCATACTTTGAGAGAAGTAAAAGGTTTGGTCAATAAATAGTGAAAAAGGCATTCTTATGAAAGCAATGTGGGACAACTAGTGAAGGAATCTTCGCTCGTTTTGAATGCTATTCCCAACATTGATTATATATGTTTCACTAATTGAAGTGTATTTTGAGATTTAAGCTCGGGTTTTGGGAAATCAAAGCAACCTAGAGAGGGAAACTTTGTTTGTTTGGTTTGTTAAATCGAAAGACTCTGACTTTATTTGTTTAGAGGCACTTATATAAATAAGAGATGGATATTTGTGTTAAACAATATTGTTCAATATTACCATACTTCATTCTTTAGAACTTCCAAAAAAAATCATAATTTAAAAAACATTATGACACCGCAATAAAAGTTTTACAACACTTGTTCAAATAGTTAAATATGTTAAGATAGATAATACATGGCTAGCAATGTTTTTTGTTTGACACGCATGATAGGTCTTGAAGATGGGGATGATCATAATCTAGCAATGTATAATCTTTCCTATGACTACTAAGTAGTGTTTATAATTTATGACTTATGAGAATGAAAGTGGTTTTAGAGCTAAAATATAATGAAATCACGTGTTCATCTTGTAAACGAAAAGACCATACAAAATGTACTTGAATATTAAAAAAAAAAAAAAAAAAAAAAAGATAGTCTGTTATGTTTTATCGTTTTTATATTAACTAGTAACTTACCCGTGCGATGCACGGTCATTAAATATGGCCTATTAGTAATTCAAGATTATCGTCGTATAATAGTAATTAAAAAAAGTAAAGCAAATTATAAATTATAAATTATTCAATAACAAATAGATAAATACATTACAAATTGTTAAAAATTTCTTTATATACGACATTTTTGGTCGTACAGACAAACTCTCCATTCTCCCCACATAAAAAATGTAGAAAAATTAGCAGTATGTTAGGTCTAAGTATCAATAGAAAAAATGTAGAAAAATATTTATATTGTTTACATGTTTGTAATTTGACAGCAAACTATCTACTGTGATGCCAATAAGTTCTGAACACTCCCTATCCCATAGCAGGAAGGGAGCGTCAGTTGTTGCATCTGTGACCCTTACTACGACCCTGTATCTGACTGCACCAGTTTGCCATGTCCGATGGCACGTACTACAGTATAGTTGTCCATTGGATGTAGTTAGCTTTCTATTACATCCACTGTCTTTACATGAAATGTAGTACCATTCACCACGGCCTTCAATTCCAGAAATCATGCCAGGAACAAAGAAATCTCCACCCTGCTACCATATTTGCATAGTGCACATACTTTTAATTAATAATTAATAATAAGATTAGAAGTATATAAATAAATAAATATGTAAATAATTAAAAAAAAAATGTACATCTGTCTGCTTATACAAATCTGAAATTGTAGTCATGACAACATAGCCAGATATAAAGTCTTGTAGATCAGTTTGAAACAATAGAGGTAGTACTTATACTCCTAACAGGAGTGCGTTCCTTTTGTAACCTATTAGTGAACAACATGTTTTTTTTTTTTTTTTTTTTTTTTTTTTTTTTTTTTTACAACAGATATGGGCATAACTGATAGTATTGACTTGTACATAAATAATACATGCTTTTCATACTTGGCCTTAAATTCTGTAATTTCTGGACAACTATGTTTAAACCACAGTTTAGTTGCATCGTAGGAGCTTGTAATTCTCACCTCGCCTTAAATGAACATAGATTTGTATTAGAATTTAAATTAAAATAAAATAACAACAGTTTATGTAAACAAACTTACCATTGACAATTTTAGACCTACACAGTTGTATCAAGACAATTAGGGGTTGTTCTTGAGTTGTATTAAAATATGGGATCATTGCTTCCACATGATCGTCCCAGATTGTGCACTTTAGTTGCCTGTCCCTAATAGGTCGAGATTGAACATTAATTACAGAATAATAATACTCTAATAGAGTAATTATAATTGAATTACGAATTTGTATTAGTCAATAGCAGTGGTATGATTTTAGGTTAGTACTTACTCTGTGTTCTCTATTAAAAAATCCATAAGACGGGATTGTTTACCGGCAATTAGCTTATACACCGGTGAATGAATCTCAACAACACGGCCTATTATGTCTAGTTTAACATAGAAAAATATTGAATTAAAGTATGAAACCAAACATTTAATAATTAAAAATTAAAAATTTAAAATTAACAAAAAAATTGATAACACAAAAGAGGGATATACCAAATAATTCCTTGTCATTTAGATCGGTTGCATCCATCAATGACTCAAACGACTTTAATCGAAACATGAAATAGGGAAAGTTGTTGCTTTTACGTTCCTTAACTGTGGTAGAGTAATTAAACTTTATAAGGTATTTGTGGGTGGATGTTTTGTAGGTGTAGTAGTTGGTCACTACTAAAAAGTTCTTGATGGAATATACTTTTCCCTCAATGAACACAGTGCGATACTTAGCAACATCTTCCCTGGAAATAGTTCCATGGATGTAGGTCCCCTATATAACACCAAAAAAAATGTAAAAATTAAAAAAAGGTTGAATATTTTAATATAAAATACCGTATTAAACTTAAAAAACAGGTTGAATATTTTAATATAAAATACCGTATTAAACTTACCTCTTGATCATGGAAGAGTAATTCCTTGCTCTTGATAGCTGTTGCTCCCCCACGTAATTGAGGGACTTCATAGGTTCTCACCAAGCGCACCCGGATAGCTCTCCGGGTGTGCATAGGACTAACTTGAGATGCAAGAATGTATTGAGAAACCATTTTCACAGATTTTGTCTTTTTTTACAGAGTTTGATTTCTCAGAAAGTTACGTTGGTGAAGAACACTACTGGATTAGTCCATATTTATACTATTTTTTTAGTAGCAATATGACTCTCATAATCATAATTTCCTAAATCAACAATCATAATTTTAGGCAATCATAATTGTAGGCAGTGCTACTCCTTAATTAGAATCCGCAATATGCCTCTCATAATCATAATTTCCTAAATCAGCAATCATAATTTTAGGCAGTGCTACTCCTTAGAACCGCAATAATAATTTCAGCAATGTATGTTTTAGGCGGGAAACTGATGTAGCAAAAAAAAATTTGCTATTATATAGAGTAAGATAAGATTGATCACGTTAATTTTAGTAGTATGTTAGTTATTCTTTGTATAAATTATTTATTTAGTTTTACCGATTTATTGTGTAGAATGGAGTTGCGGGCGTATAAGTGCTAGGTGAGTTAAAGACTTAATTATATTTAGAAAAATGCAAAATATAAAGAGTGTGAGCGATCTTTAATTTGAATTTCATCATGTAGTTTTCATTGTACTTATTTTATTAATGATTGATCAAAGTTCAATGCTATATTATTCATTAAACGACAAAGTTATACATATTTGTTTGTTTCATTAAGCAAAAATTTGTCATATCATCATTATTTTTATAGGTAACTTGTTGATTGATTACGGATAAAAAGAATTTCATTGCATGGTCTTAGTGAGTTTAAATAATTAATTGAAATTTTTTAAAACTGGTAGTCTAATTGTGTTAGAGATCCTATTTGACTATGTAACATTTTTTTAAAAATATATATTTTTTGAATGCTACTAACTCTGTTACAATGTAGTTTTTATATTTTAAAAATATATTTATTTAGTCTGATATTTACAATTTCCATTTTTAAATTCCCGCCTCCATTTCTTGGGCACTCGTCAATTGTCAGTCGTCACCGCAGTGATGCTCAGAGTCCCAACGGATTCTAAACTCCACTGCTCCCCTCTACTCAACTCACGAGTCACGAAGGCCTAATCTCCATTATTTGAAACAATTTCCATATCACTAATTTTTACTTTCATCTCTTCTAATCCCCGCTCGTTTCCTAAGAAAGTCGAGGTAACAGTTTCATTGTTTCAAGCTCCGCCTAGGGTTTCTTTCAGTTTTTGCTTAAACTGTCTAATTTTGTGTTTTTTTTTTTTTGGTTTACTTTGAAATGTCTAGGACTTAGTTCACTTTTCGTCCAAATGGGTGATTCTTCCAGGTACAAATAGAAGAAATATTTCCTAACATTGATTGCGTTGGTTATGTTCTATACTATGCCTATAGAGAAGATTTAATTTTTAAGGAGTAGTTTCTGTATAATAAAAGGGAAATTTTCTGCAGGGAAGACGAGAAAAATACACTTAAGATACTTGTGGCTACGGATTGTCACTTGGGTTATTTGGAGAAGGATGAAATACGTAGGCATGATTCATTTCAGTCGTTTGAGGAGATATGTTCTATAGCTGAGAAAAATCAGGCAAGTTGTTTCAATTCTTCAGTTTGATGCTGTGTATTAATAATATATTTTTGGTGGGTTGAATTTTCCCTGGGTGTTCTTAACAATCCTTAGCTCAATGTTTAAGAACTGTAATGTTTTTAATTTTCCCACTTTGAATAGCTAATTTATACTAGTCCCTGTGTTGTACACTGACTTCAATTGGTTATCAGGTGGACTTTTTGCTTCTTGGAGGTGATCTTTTTCATGAGAATAAACCATCCAGGACTACATTAGTTAAAGCCATCGAGATTCTGCGTCGGTACTGTCTCAATGATCAACCAGTGCAGTTCCAAGTTGTCAGCGATCAGACAATAAACTTTGCAAATGTGTACTGGACAATTATACTACTAGTCTCTTCACTGCATTTAATTCATTTCTTTATTGTTTAGATTCCCAGTTTTGATAGATAACTTATTTGTTGGAGAAATCAATTATTATTATTATTATTATTATCATTATTATTATTATTTTTAGACATATGGGATTGTGCTTACATACTTCATGTTATGCCTTTCAATTGGGATTTACAAATTTGTTTCTCGTGTCATGTGGTTTTTTTTCCCTTCATATCATGTATGGGCCATTGCTTAGTAGTCTCTTTGTGCTAAACAATTAGAAAATGTTTATTTAACACTTCTTTTTATAACATAACTGTGGTCTGTCCTTTCAGATTTGGTCATGTAAACTATGAAGATCCTCACTTTAATGTTGGATTGCCAGTTTTCAGTATTCATGGGAATCATGATGATCCTGCTGGCGTGGTATGGATCTTATGCAAAATTGTTTTATGTATTTTGTTATATACCCTGGAACCTAAAATTGTTCTGCATAATTCATACGGGCTTGCCTGTTTATTGAGTAGTATGGTGTTATTTTACAAAATTACATATGGAGAGTGCTCTTGCCTCTTCTAATGATCCCTGTTTGTCCTGCTTGTTCTAAAGAAAGCAAAGTGTACCTGATTACTCCAAACAAGCCACCCATAAGAAAAATAGCTAATACATTAACTTTGTAGAGAATGAAAATGTTTGGTATGCTCGAAATCTGAATATTCTGTAAATGGGTTGGAATTTTTCTTCGCTTTTATGTTCATGTTGTAATATGCTTGACTTTCTAGCAAAAGAAAAAGTTTAAAATACTATTTGTCCACAACTTTTCTTTGTAACTTTTATGTAGATATGCAAAGCTAACATTTCATCTTATAAATTAACTTTGACTGAGACAACCATGTCTGCATATCTGACATCATCCATATGCTCTTTCCCAAGTTGGTACATGATTTTATCAACAAGATAGCAATGCTTGTGTTGATGCTCGACAAGCATGAAGTTTATCCGTTTCAATGGGACACCTTATTTCCATGGTAATCCGTAATTGAGAAAGTCATTTTCAGCATCAAAAGCATTGAATGACACAGCTTGACTGTATGGATTTAAGGTTGAACCTTCTGTGAAATACTCCCACATCATGCATCGTCTTAAAAGAAGTTTTTGAAACCTTACCTCTGTTTTAAGAGTTGATAGTTTCCAGGATTTGAACCACATCCTAACAGTCCATGGGTGAGCAAAAGTTTTAAGCAACCACCCTACTTTTCATTTAAAACCTAATTACAGTGGAGTTTCTTTGTGTGTGTGAATTCTTCTCCAATCTGCATTGACAAGGATGAACTCTAACTTGAGAATTAACTCCATTCTTGTGTTCATTATCCTGCTTAATGACTGAATGAATTCCATCTATATTTGAATATTTATTGCATTCAGTGAATTAATTCCACTTTAGGTCCCTCAAATTTGCTTGGTTTGTCATCTATTATCATTTCCTGAAGCATATTTAAATACCTAATAAAAAAAGAGCACATTTTTGTTTTCATGTTACAGATATCAAGTTACTGCTTAAGTTCCTATTGATGCTTTATACCTGAAAATTTGTTCCATACCTGTACGAATTTGAACTAATATTTTAATTTATTACATTCAGTTAGAATTAATACCCATGTAGGTCCCTTGAATATAGTGGCAATTCCATTATAGTAACCCCCTTCTCCTGTGACTTCAAAAATGAGCAAGAGTGGTCCCAGGTACTCTCAAGTGGGAGACAATTTTTATACTACTATTGGAAATTGGACAGGAATGATCTCAAACTAGTAGAAACTTGAGAAATGTGTATATTGTACACTTGTCAATTTTCAAACTTGGTGGGGACTAAATTGGAATTGCCATTATATTTGAGGGATCAAGAGTTGAATCAATTCTATTATGTTATTCTGACAATACCAATTTTCTTACAATCTTACATACTGCTTTCTGATTTTTCTTTTTCAATAATTGTGACAGGACAACCTTTCTGCTGTTGATATTCTTTCAGCATGCAATCTTGTGAATTATTTTGGAAAAATGGATCTTGGAGGTTCTGGTGTTGGGCAGATATCTCTCTACCCCATTCTCATCAGGAAGGTTGGCATCAACCTCTTTGATAATATCTTTCTTAATAAAAAATTTTAGATTTTTAGATTGGCTTCAAGCTGTTAATTGTAGGGTTCAACATCTGTAGCCCTCTATGGACTTGGTAATATAAGAGATGAGCGCTTGAATAGGATGTTTCAGGTATTGCTCTGAGTCTGGAGCTCTCTTTTTTGGGAATTCTATTTTTATTGTACAGCAGTGAACTATTATTCCTCTTGATGTTTTAGACACCTCATGCCGTTCAATGGATGCGACCTGAGGCTCAAGAAGGGTGTCAATTGTCAGACTGGTTCAACATCCTGGTTCTTCATCAGAACAGGTTATAGTAGCTATTATAAATAATAAATAATTCACCCTGATAGTATTATGTTATGAATGCAGGACACTTTACGTAGGTGACTAGGCACAATTTTGTGTGGTGTCATTTAACAACAATACATGCCTGTTTTCTGGTTTCCAGAGTAAAGACAAATCCTAAAAATGCAATAAATGAGCATTTCCTGCCTCGGTTTCTGGATTTCATTGTATGGGGCCATGAACATGAATGTCTGGTTGATCCTCAGGTGCTACTTATTTAGGTGTTTCTATTACAATTTCCTTTTAGTGTGGTGTCTGATTAAAACTCATTTTTATAATAGGAAGTTCCAGGTATGGGTTTCCACATTACTCAGCCTGGCTCTTCTGTTGCAACATCACTGATTGATGGTGAATCAAAACCTAAACATGTGCTCCTTTTGGAGATTAAGGTTGTATTATATCAATTTGTATGTTAAAATTTTTATTTTGTTCTATTTTACTCATGTTCCTATACTGCTTAGTTTTAAATACTAAAATGATCGTGCTTTTGTGACTGATGGTCAGATGCTTTCCATATAATGTAGGGAAATCAATATCGCCCGACAAAGATACCTCTTAAGTCAGTGCGGCCTTTTGAATACACTGAGGTTACTTTATATCTTTATATTGAACCAGTATATAAAGGAACATTTGCTAAACTAATCAGTTTTCATGCTGCAGATAGTTTTGAAGGATGAGCCAGATATTGATCCAAATGATCAAAACTCAATTCTTGAACATTTGGACAATGTTGTATGTACATTTATTCAGTTCATTATCGTCTCTGTTTCTTTTATATGCTATTATATGAATATTCTGTTTCTATCATTCTTTTTTGTTACAAAGATTACTTGCTGATGCATCCTAGCTCCTTTGAATTATTGCAGGTCAGGAAGTTGATAGAACGACCTATTGCTATAAGTGGATCAGAGAACAAGCTCCCCTTAGTTCGAGTAAAGGTAGCAATTTCATGTATTTTTTAATTTCACCCCCCCCCCCCCCCCCCCCCCCCCCAACCATGGCTTTCATTTTTCAATTTTGTTTTCTTTTCTCTATGTATCTGTCAAGTTGCATGCTCTCTTTTCTGGATGAGTTTTCAGGTAGATTACTCTGGATTTATGACAATAAATCCTCAAAGGTTTGGACAAAAATATGTGGGGAAGGTACTTTCTACTTATTTCTGTTCAATGGTGAAACTTTTCTTATTTCCTTTCTGCACCTCTCCACACCAAAAATGTGCATTTCCAATTTTTTTAGGTTGCAAATCCTCAGGATATTCTTATATTCTCTAAATCTTCAAATAGAGGCCGCAGTGCAGGTAATTGGATTTCTTCTCTTGCTGTTCACAGTTTTATGTGATGAATTTGATTTCTTTTGCAGACACTTGCTTATGATATTATAAGGTGTGTGTGAATGCATTGCCTTCTTCCAAAATAGAGCATACCTTTTAAGTGTCTTTTGGTCATCCTCCACATACTTTGGCAATCCACACTTTTTTCCATAACAGGCCAAATTGACTTTCTTTCTGTAAGTGAAAGCGTGCAGGGACTGGTTTTCTTGATGAACCTAATATTACTTTTAGAATTTCTAGATTAGGTGATGCTTAATGGCCTGTTATTGCTGCTAATATTATTCCCCTCCCAACATATTTTGCTTCTTTATGGAGTTATAATTCTTGTGAAACTGTGAAAGTCGACATTTTGAGAAGTCTATTCTTCCTGTTGTAGTGATTTAGTGCTTAGCTTGATTATTCAGTCTTAATTGTGCACAGTCAAAATTGAAGAGTCTGAAAGGCTTCGACCAGAAGAGTTGAATCAGCAGAATATAGAAGCTTTAGTTGCTGAGAGTAATTTGGTATGAGATCAAGTTTAAAACATCATTTTTCTTTTTCTTAGAACACCCATATAGACTTCACTTTTTAAATTCTTATTCTTCCATCTCTTCAATATAAGGTAAAGCTAATTTATTATCCAAAAAGGGGGAAAGTATCTTTGTGCATTGCCTGAGGCGCATCTAATCCTAACTGGTTTACAGAAAATGGAGATACTTCCTGTCAATGATTTGGATGTTGCATTGCACAGTTTTGTCAACAAGGATGACAAGATGGCTTTCTATTCTTGTGTGCAATACAACCTCAAGGAAACTCGTGTAAGTATTCTATTATGTTCGGTAAGCAAATCACGGTAGTCTCTGGATACATCTACTCCATATTAAATATTTTAGCATCAGCTTTTCTCACATATCCTTTACATAGTAATATTTGCATCTTGCACTAACAAACTAATGACTGAGTTGACAGAATAAAATTACTCGGGATTCAGATACACTGAAATTTGAAGAGGAGGATATAATTTTCAAAGTTGGGGAGTGCTTAGAGGTAAAACACTATTTTTTTTGTTATTCCCTCTAGTTCCAAGCTACCTAGAGGAGTGATATGCACCATCCTCTCTTTGAGTCTCTTTAGTACTGTACAAACCAATATCTATTGTTTTTGGATGCATTATCTCATCCCATCTAGAATAGTAACAGCTATGATATCATGTTACGTACCTGTTGTACAGGGTTGTGTGGAACAAACATCTATGCTTTGCATAAGAGACATTTGAAATCATGAAATAAAGTGGTGATTGGTCATTGCAGGAACGTGTCAAAGAAAGAGGTGTACAGAATAAAGATGACCAACCATTCACATTTAGTGGGCAATCCTCAGAGGTATTCCTTTATCTTTGACCTGGTGCATACAACTTGGATAATCTTAGTTTTGTGTATAGAGGTAATTTTAGCACAATTTTCAGATCAGAAGTAAAAGTATTAGAGGCATTGAAAGTGCAGTTTCCTTCAGTGATGATGAGGACACAACTCCTTTATCTGCCTCAAAGTCTACTGCCAATAAGGGCAAGAAAGAGTTATCACAATCTTTTAGGTCCTCTCACGATGCTTCTGAAGTGGGCAAAACTTCAAGAGGAAGGGGCCGGGGGAGAGGCAGAGGCAGAGGCAGGGCTTCTAGCAATTTAAAGCAGACAACACTTGATACATCAATGGGATTTCGTCATTCACAAATGTATGAGCAGTGGGCCTAATAGATGATTTTCCAGATAACCTTTGTTTAATGCACATTTTTTATTTTTTACTTTTGTGTAGATCTTGATGGTCTCTAATTAATTTGTGAATCGAGGTGCTGCAGATCTTCATCAGTTCGAAGCATTGCAGAGGATGAAGAGAACGTGGACTCTGATTCAAGTGATGAAAAAGCTGAGAATGAAATAAATGATGTCGATGATAGCTTGGTATGTTTTTTCTTCTTTACTAATGCTTCTCTACCCTTGGCATTCAGGTTAATCTTCTAAGCACAAATGATGATAAGATGATTACAAACAATTCTGCTTAAAAAGCACAAAACTTCATTTCTGTGATCTCTAATTTAATTTGAAAAATACTTATATTTCTTACCTGCATAGCAATGATGGGTTGTATTCATCTTTCATCCGGTGCCAAAGTAGTTTGATTTCCTTCTATCCCAATACTCTGTTTTTCATTACTAATAGAAATTGTGAGGTTTTGCTGCTTTAATTTACTAACTAATAGAAAAATAAATGTTTTGTAATTATGGTGTTGTTTGATGAAGGATGATGAAAGTGTTCAAGGCAAAGGCCGCAAAAGGGCTGCCCCACGGGGAAAAGGTAGAGGTACATCCTCAGCTAAGAGAGGAAAGAAGTCAGATAATGCTCCTTCAATTCAAAGGATGCTTATGAATTTAGATGATGAAGATGATGACGATGAAGTGCAAAAGAAATCAAACAAACCTCCACCTCGTGTAAGTAAAAATAAATAAACCTCTGCCAACTTTTCTTGTATTGAATTTCTGTTCTTAGGTGACTTACTGAATCTTTCGAGTAGGACTATGCCAACTTTGTGAGTGTAGCTGATCAATAAGCATCCTTTTGTAGGTAACAAGGAACTACGGTGCTCTAAGGAGGTGAGGTGAGCGCCACACAACCCAGATTGCTAGATCAATTGTGGTGCATTACAGTTTAATTATAGGTAGGGGGGCTGCGTAATTTAGCTGTAAATTTTGGAAGGGGAAAAAAATACAAAAACCAACGTGAGAAACGGCTTTGGCAGTTCGGAATCAGTAATTTCTTTTACAAAACTTACTAAATTCTTTTTGCGCAGTAGGATGTTTCCACAAATAAACTACAACATCTGTAATGGGTTTAATACTACTACTAAGTGAAGTCAAATCAGCTTGAACATATAAATTTAAAACATGACATACACATCTTTGATAAAAAAACTTACCTCCAAAATATGGAATACATAAATCCCTAAGATCAGGGATTGCAACATTATTATTGGAAGCATTATCAAAACCAACTACAAAAATTTTGTGAGTGATTTTATATTCATAAAAAATACTTTGCAACTTACTATAAATATTACTTGCAGTGTGTTGTTCATCAAAACAACAAAAAGCAAGAATTCTTTTATGCAGTACCCAATAACATGTAACACCTAAATATAAATGTTCCTCCGATAATCGCTCTAAATATCAGCACATATAGATGGCGAGTAGCAGTCGTATAAGGTAAATCACACATTTGAGGATTTAATGCACCCCGGCAAAATTCTTTAAAATCAACCTTTTGTTCAAAACTAAAAGATAATCCATCAATTGTAATCATTTTAGCAAACTTGTGTCTAGTTTGCTCATCTGAATAACGAAATAAAGTATTTGATTTAGTGGCGTACCTGTCAATTTATTGTTGAGTTTGTATATTTACCTCTTTGTCAGGATGCTTTGAGCTTATATGCTTCCGGATGCTTTGAGCTTATGTGTATCCTGAAAAGATAAGATTTTTGTTTGGAAGGTTGAACTCCTTCCGTTTCATCGTTCTGCGAGAAAGTAGCATTGTTAGAATCAAAAGAAGAATGAAAAGGTTGAGAGCAAAAAGAGGTAGGTTGATGTTCAATTATGTCTAGTTGGGGGTTTGGATTTAAGTCTTGGTAGTATGACGTACCGTTGTTGTAAAAATTAATGGTATTGATATTCGCTTGGAAAACCCATGAACCGAATGTTGTAGAAGTTCAAAAGAGGGAGATTCTCTTTGAAACTTATGAACAGAATGTCGTGGAGATTCAAAAGAAGGAGATTTGTCACGATTTCCACGACTACCACTAACCTGGCCATCATAAGAGAAAAATGCTATGCTTGAATTATCCAAGCGTGTTTAGTTTAATAGGCTTTGAAATTGGCCTAAGCCTAGCCTTTTTACTAAACAAGCTAGGCCTAACTAGGTCTTAATTAGGCCAGGACATAGGCCCCTACAAGGGGCCTGGCCTATTCCCACCCGGCAAATTATGTTGTGGAACTGTGTCCACTTTGCAAGGTAGACACAGTTCTAAAACTGTTCATAAATGTGAATATAGAGTTTAAAAATTATGAACATAGATTTTTATAATTATGAACACGGAGTTCTGTAATTGTGAATATAGAGTTCAATAATTGTGAATATTAAGTTCAAAAATTATGAACATAGAGTTTTATAATTATTGTAAGTGTAAAATTTAATACACATTAAAATCCTATATATTGGCTAATTTATTTGTCAAAATAAATTAGAATTTAGTTTAGAAGTATCCTTGGACTTGGACCGTCTCCTATCAAAGCAATTTTTTTTTTTTTTTTTTTTTTTTTTACTGGTAGAGCACTTGGAACAAAGTCAGTAATCGTGTGGTATGAAATGTTGGTCAACAGGTTGTGTGGAATTGAATCTATAATTGAGGAATTATTTATTTATTATGGTTATGGTTTATTTCGAATGGGTGGACAGTATTCTTCCAAAAGTTGAACCCTAATCATAAGGGCCTCCACACCCCGACTCACTAGATGGGTGGATAATATTGTCGGAGCACTTCAACCTACCTCTATATTGTTGTGTACTTGATCAATACTGTCCACCCATTCGAAATAAAGACAAGAAATAAAATCAAGTACACAAGAATTGATCACGCAGTTCGGAGCACTTCTCCTACGTCTGCCTAATCCACTAGATGCTCACCAAGGTTTTACAAGGAGTTTGTACACAAGGCTATCAGCCACTACAACCAATTACAAGCTTCCCAACATCACACTCAGGATTGGTGCGTGCATGCCATCTATGACTTCATATGTTGTTGCGGCTGCTGAACCTGATGCAGTTCGACTGTTCTAGCGAGAGTACAATTCAGAATATGATAAATGTATATGAAGTTTTAATATGTGAGCACTTTCTTCTTTAATTAATAAAGTATTGTAATCCGTGTAACTTGAGTGAGAGAGAGCTTTCATTTTATACTTATATATCTTTAACCACCTAGTTAAACTAAAAAAGTTGTTGGAAGAATGAAGTAAAACACTTTTATACGAAGTGATATGGATGCATATATGTTTAGTGACAAGTGACAGCTGGAGTTGATTGGGAGTGGGCAGTGGGTATGGTTAAAAAAGTGATAGTAGAGACAGTGCAGGCACCAGCCAGAAAAGAAGAAATTGTGAAAGTTCTGGGATGATGTGTTATTTTATAACTGTATTGTATTATGAAAAAAATGAAATAGTATGGAAAATAATTTTCTTCAATTCTCGTCTGCATACAGCTGTGAAGGCTACATGTACTCCCAACTTTACTACTCCCAACTTTACTCCCAAAAAAAATACTCCCTGACGTGTCATTACTGTTTATTAAAAAAAATATGATTTATGTGGCTCAAATTGCTCCATTTCTTCTACTCCCTCTCAGCCCTATTTTTTCTCTCTCTTCTTTATCTCTTCGCCTCTCAGCGTTGTTTCTTCTCCGTCTCTTCCTCTCCCTCTCCTCCATTTTTTTTTCTCATTCCTCCTCCGTATGTTCCCCTCTCTCTCTCTTTCACTTTCCCTCTCCTCCATTTTTTTTCTCATTTCTTCTCCGTATGTTTCCCTCTCTCTCTTTCTCTCAATCATTTTTCTCTTATTTCATTCTTTTCCTCAGGTCTATCTCTTTTTATCTGGCCATTTAGGTCATTCATTTATCACTTCTCCTCTTCCAATCTGGGTCTCTTTCTATTCTTCCTCCACAATTCTTACTTGTGATTCGTCTGGGTCTCCATGCAGCAATGACTCTCAAGCTCTATTTGATGTTAATGGCTCTTCCCTCTCTATTTTATGAAATAATGAAATAGAGAAAATCAATAAACAATGAAAGGGAGAAAAGAAATAAACAATGAAATAGCTCTGTTTGCTGCCAAATAGCACTTCTCAAGGAAGAAACCAAAAAAAAAAAAAAAAAAAAAGAGTTGATGTGACACAGCCAGCTCAGGGAGTTTACTTTGGGAGTATACCATTCGCATGTTGTAGAATTTTCCTTTAATATAATACTATTTGAATAATTTCTTTATCTAGATTGTCAAGAGCAATTAATTAGCAGTAGTTACACATTGTCTCTACATAGTAATCCTATGTAGAATTTGTACACATTATGTCTTTTCAGCATGTTTCTTGAATCTTTGTTTATTCCATTACCTCACCATCCTTCTTGAGACTGTACCTGAAGAAAAAAAATCAAGAAAACTGCAAGATAGATAATATAAAACTGTCCCATAGAAACCAATAGTTCAAACTTAGACATAATTGGCACTTAGGCCAAAAACCACAATCCAAAATAATGATTCAGATGTCAAACAGGGCAGAAGACAGTTCTGAACATTTTTTCACATCCCAACAGAACCAAAACATTTTTTCAAAAACCAAACTACTCTAGGTCACATGTTACTTTTTCCAGATTCACAGTCACTTGTTTATTCTTTTTTGAGTTTTGTGTGGATGATAATTCATCCAGGAGGCACCTTTTGACTGAATCACTTCCATCACCATTCAATTCCTTCACTGGCTTCAAAGCAGTAACATGACTTTCAGCCTCGTCATCATCCTCATTGAAGAATCCCTGCAATAATGTTCAAACTTAGAGATTATTTTCCAGTTAAGAAACTCACAAATGATTACAGTTTAGAATTATATTAAGTTAATAACCTTACCTCATCAGTGTCCTGTTCATCTTCTGGCTGGAGGATCTTTGAGCTTAGATCCCTGCTTTGGAAATCAGGCAATTCTGGATAGTGAATTGCAAGTAATGCATTGTCTTTCTCAAATTTTTAGAACAGGAAAGACATTGAGTAGATTGTCAAATTGTTCCTTTCTAGCAGCAATTTTAAATACCAATGATAGACCAACTAAATCTTTCTCCTAGCCCATACGATGCACAGACTATAAAATTTTCTCCCGCATTGGATTTGACTCTCCCAGTATATTGTTGAAAGCGAAATACAAAATTTATGTACTTACCTCTGCATCATGAAATAAGCATTCCATGCTTTTGTTTTTTTTTTTTTTGTTTTTTTTTTTTTTGTTTTTTTGGATTCAGACAACTCAGATGTGTGTTGATCAAGATGGATTTGATACCCAAGAACAAAGTGGCTAGACATCAAGCTTCAATTGTTGGCTTTATGGTTGAACAACCTCAACACTAGTTTTTTGTTTCCTTGTAACCCTTTTCTATATATAAGCAAAGGTCTATGTGTTTGTAAATTGTAAAACATGATGCTGTGTAGATGATTACCAAAGGTTCACGCCAACTCTAATAGAAAAACAATGACTCAAAAGTCAAAACATTGGGAATGGTTATATGAAAACCACACGTTACATTGATATTTAATAGGAAAAAGTAAAAAAATACTCAACCACTCAGCAATAAGAATGGCTAAAAAATAGTCCAAAAATACTCAACCACACGTTTTCATCTATTTCTCATGAGTGGGAAAACAATTTTTTTAATTTACCAAAAATTTTTCTCATTGGCGTTTTTCATCCAACAACTTTTTTAGTTTACATTTTTTTAATATAATTTCTAATGAAATTATTGTAGCCAAAATTGTAACAAATTATTTTAAGCTTCAGTTCAATACATAGATTTTGGAGATCCAAATGATACATGTGAGCACTGCAACTGTTTTTATTGGTACCATGAAAGAACCAACAAGACTAAAACGACATATGCCACTAAGTATTCAGGATGTTGTGGGAATTGGGAAAATCAAACTACCTAAGATGTCAATTCCTCCAAACAAATTATATGATATATTTTTTACACC